GACAATACACAGCTCAAAGCCTCTGGAAACAGTATGAAAATATCCATCTAAACAGAATCATTATGCAAAGGCAACGATAAACTGGTTCTGATGATAAACAGACTGTCATATCTCTATACCCGAGCCAGAGGGCAACACACTCTGTGACATCCATCTTCTTTAAGTAACGCTGCTCATAATGACACTGCACATGGCGGGAGAAAAAAACACACACGCCAACGTTCCGTCATAAACACATACGAGTTAACACTCTCAAATACACAGTATTAATATTCTCGGTTGCTTTCTCTCTGTCTTGCAAACACAGCAAGACACACACACACACACACACACACACACACACACACACACACTTGCACAAAAATCTCCCAGTATTTAATACAACTGGGTAATGCTAGGGGCAAGGCAGAAGTCATAATCATGAGTGTGTTTAACAGCAGTGTGACAGGCGGATGCTGCTTCAGTGTAAGTAAAGAACATGTAAATAAGAAGGCTGAATTATTCAAGACCGAGACCGGCTCACAGATGCTTACCCTCACCAGCTCAGCTCCAGCCATGCTGGGATAATCTCAGGAAGGGAAGGAACAGGAGAAGAAAAAATGTTTTTTCCATCAAGGTGCAAACAGTCCACACCCAGACTGAGCCGAGCAGGAGTTTTGTTATTCGACAAATGTGGTTCTTTCACGTGACATGATTGTAAATTCAGGATTTGGTGATGTCGTGGAGTTGCACATGTGGTGTCCACAAGGCTGTGGTAAGCTCAGAGTGTATTTAATATTGTCTTGTTTCCTGTTTAATTTTGGATATGCACATGCCATTTCATTTCAGTTCTTGCCTTTGTGTGTCTCGCTGACCTTTGACCATCCACACCTGATTCCAATGGACTTACCTGCCGCTGGTGTTTCCTGTCAGTGAGTCCTCACCTTTAAGAAGCTGGGATAGAAGGAGCATAAGAAACGTGTACACATCAAAAGTAGGTGAAAGGCTATTGGAAAACACCATCAGGGAAAAGAGGAATGCCAACATGCTGACACCAAACAGCACATTTATTAAAACAAACAACTTCTATGTCTGATCTTCTTTCGAGCAAAAACAAAGAGAATCTGACTGAGGCTGAAACAAGATATGAAATGTCTGGCGTCTATGTGCAGGAGTTCGTCTTTTTTAAGTAAAGTGGCACCAGCATGTATCGGTTTTGTTACTCCTTACTTAAATGGTTGTAAATACGTTGTAACTAATAGCTATTACTGGTTAATGAATCACTTACTAATGCTTTACAGATCAGTTCTACTCTACGTCATTAATGAGAACTTTTGGCTGCTACATTATAAAAAATTCTTCTAGGTTGTGTTTGTCCTCCAACATTACACTTGTCTTTTTATCCCTTTAATTCATCTGGACCATTTACCTTACCTTATTTACTTACCCTCTGAAATAATAATTTAATAACAATAATAGTTTATTAACAAACTATTACCATGTATTGACTTGATGTCTTAATAGAAAGTATAAAACCCATGAGCATTTATTAGTGGATTACTGATATTTGTAACTGTATTATTACCAAATAGAGAGGATAAAGAGTAATCTATAACACTGTACATTAGTAAGTGGTGAAAAGTACATTTACTCAAGTAATACACTTATGTAGTAAGTTTACATGAGTGTTTTCCATTTTGTGCTACTTCATACTTCTACTGTTGTATTGTACTTTTTACCACACTTACTTTTCACCCATTGATTTGATAATATTAGTTTCTAACTCCTTTGCAGACCCATATTATTAATAAATTAATGTAAATATGAATAGGTTATAGGAATCTATTTTGGAGCCCAAAATTGTTGTTTCTGTAAATCACAATGAGATGACTCACGGTTGCTTTAAAGGACAAGAACGTGATGGAAAGGAGAGCCCCACGTAAATACAGAAAGTGTGGCGGAGGTATCGTGTATTTGCAAATGATGAACACCTGGACCAACTGATGTCTGCCTGACATAAATTATAAGCTATGGCTGGTTTCAGGAAGAGGACGAGAACAGGTCTTCAGAGATCCACATCCATCTGGGAAATCATGCAGGCTGAAACTGTGGAGAAGCACACAGGCAATTCCAGCCTGACTAAACAAACATCTCATCATCAACCCAAACCACTCAAAGTGAAAATACACCCTCATCCCTTAGCACCCTCATTTTTCCATCAGCCACAACCAACTGCTGTTTTCACACCCCCGGTCCTGCTGATTGGGCTGATCTTACTGATTGAGCTTCATTTAAGAAACACGTGGGAATCAGGCCTGGTAGTTTACAAAGATTACATGGCAGCCACTCACTTGGCTTTGTCCTATTACCACAATAAACATCTGCAATAACAACTGCCTGAGAAATTGCAGTTAAACCTCTGGGATAAAAAAAAAAAAAAAAGCATACTGTCAGCTTCTGGTGGAGTCTTATCTGAACAACATCCAGCAGTTGAAACATGACTCTCTCCTCTACTCGTAGATGTGATTAGTTAAAACATGTTCTACAGTAATCGCCCCTGGGAATCACATAAATATGCCTGACAAGTTGTTTCGGTTGCATTACAGAAGGGGAGCAGGGCTCAGTGCTGACCACCAGCGGTAGTAACGCGAGAAGCAGCGTGAACCACCAGGCACTGGTTGATCTGATGGTTGTCGAACATTTGAGCGGCCTTGTGAACGGTTCAGTTTGGAGTTTTGCACAGCTGAAACTGTGACAGGAGTGGGCCTAGGGAAGTTGCGCTAGAAAACAAAAACAGCAGTGAGGAAATAGTTCGTGATTAATTTAGTTCCACATTTAATTCAACAAGCGAATAATTCTGTGTGCATGCTTTATATCTGTTTCTATGGGCAGTTTCTTTACTGTCCTCTCTAATACTCTTTCTCAAATAATTCTTCCTTGGTTCATCTTTTTTAAGTTGTTTATACCATTTCCCATGTTTGCTTTGTATGTACAGAGAGATAAAAGTCCAGTATTATATGAAGAAGAATGAGTGGTGAATGTAATCTGCTAAATAAAATGCATATAATGCTTAATAAAATGATATATTTGACTTCTAACATTGACCTCCCTCCAAAAGTCAATATTTTACATTCATTTTCACAGCACTTTTAAAAGACACCTTTAAAGAATAGCTTTTGAATGGTCATTTTCCTCCAAGGTTGCATGTTTTTCGGGCAAGACATTAGATAATAGGGACTTAATTTGAATTCTAAAGTACTGTTGACCTGAACATTATTTAAAAGATGGCAGTGGCTGCTTGAGTTAACCCAAAATCGTTCGATTTGATGAAAGTAATCTCCCCTGGGAATCAGCCAATGAATTCTAAGATTTTATACCAGGAAGATAAAAGCATATGATTTGATGTTAGTGATGCATTTTTACAGCCAAAATGTGGACTTTAAATTGATTTTTCATTTCATGTGACTTATTAGTGGTGATCTAGAGGTACTTTCAAAAAAAAAAAAATGGTGGGCCAAAAACTGTCCTCCGGTTTGTCATAATACCACAAAATGAAGCAAAAATCTGTATTTTCAGGAAAGCATTAATTTGTCTTTTTGCCAGGTCTCTTTTGACACAGGGCCCCTCTGCAATAGAAGGCTTGAGAGTTGGGTAAAATTGCAGGAGCCACTTTAAAGCCTATTTCCGTTTTTGTTGTGCTTTAGTGGTGGATATGAGCAAACACATTCATAAATAATCAAATTACCACAAAGTAAATGCCACACAGACAACCAGGAGCCTTCTGAGCCACAGATGGTCTGGGACCGCAGGATAATCCATCCATTCCTATAGCAGTGCATTGTATTTTATAAGCTTTCATTGGTTTTGTATAGCCTTTAACTTCATCTGCAAGGTAGTTAAATTAATGTTGCGCTGTAAAAAGCATAGTATTTACTTCTGATATGCAGTGGAATAGAAATATAAAGTAACACACAATTAATATTCTCTAACTTTGACTGTGCAATCTTTGTCAAACTGTGGCTACAAGTGGCGAGTGCAGAATAATACCCACAACTGCTTCACAAAACTAAAAAACATCATTTTTGACATGCTAAAACACTGAGTGACACTAGTATAAGTAAGGAAGAGAAATAAAGTCAGATAACTGACTCATCATGTGAGCCTTACAACAACATCTATCAAAAGCTTGTGAACATTAGCTAACATTTGCCAATGTTAGCCGACGGTTAATAGTCTTGAGAAAATGTGAATGATAAGTTGACTGAAAAAGCTACCTTGACCTACTAACTAGACTATCCGCAGGAGAAATAATGGTCTGATTGAACTGTGCAAGAGTGTGTTTTATTACTTATAGGGCTTTAACTGTTCATTTGAAAATGAAAAAATATTATAATATATTACTTTCAAAAAAATCATGTAGTCTCACTTTAAGTGCAGCACTTCAGTCATAGTTGTTACTTTAGTTTAGTTTATTACATTTATTTGTCATGGATCATGTCGCACATACTCCACATAAACATGACTGCACTACTGAAGTACAGTATCAATTATGGCAAGTCCTCCATGCTCCATTTTGTGGCCCTAGTCTTGCAGAGGATCCCCATGTCAAAATCTAGTATTCAGACCTGAATTGTTTTAGTTTATATTGTGCTAAATGTTGTATTTTATCTTTTTTTTGTATGTGTCACGTGATTATTACACAAACCTCAAGATAGAGTACAGTATTATTCCATCATAGGGCTGCTGCCAAAAATTATCTTTATTATTAATACATTTGATGGGATTTTGTTTTTCGATAATCTATCTATCTATCTATCTATCTATCTATCTATCTATCTATCTATCTATCTATCTATCTATCTATGGCTACTTGCTATTGGCTGCTGGCGGATGACGTGGTCGTTACGCGTGAACCAATAAATTAAAGCGACTCTCCCTTTCACTGTTTTTAGAGAGAGAGAGAGGGAGAGAGAGAGGGAGTGAGAGAGGTTGAAAAGGTAGTCTTCGCGCTGCATCCGGGGAACACAGCTCCATGGAGATGCAGTGAGTCCGTGTGGTGTAGACCAGAAACCAAAGTAAAGTAAACGGGGGAGGGTCGGCTACGGGGGGGTCTTTAAGCGAGTTACAATGCGTCTTTCACGCCGTTGAACGGTCTCGGTGAACGATGAGCCAACTTCGCCGGTCGTCTCGAAGCGGAATGAGCCACTCTTGAGCCCCGAGAACGAGTCCTTATTGGCGGGGGAGAGCGAGAATGAAGAAGCCGAGCGCCCTGCTCCCTGTTGTCGGCTTGACTGGGAAATGGTAGCGTACTGTAGGAACCGCACTGGGAAGGAACATGGTCGAGAGGAGCAGCAAATTCTTGTTGATCGTCGTCGGATCCGTGTGTTTCATGCTGATTCTCTATCAGTACGTGGCCCCCGGGGTGATCAATTTCGGCTCCCCGCACGGTTATTTCACGGAGGAAGACGAGGGGGACATCTTCCCCACTCCGGACCCCCACTACGTTAAGAAATACTACTTCCCCGTCAGGGACCTGGAGAGGACGATCGATTTCCAAATCAAAGGGGAGGACGTGATCGTGTTTTTGCACATCCAGAAGACCGGGGGGACTACCTTCGGCAGGCACCTGGTCCAGAATGTCCGTCTGGAGGTCCCCTGCGACTGCAGACCGGGCCAGAAGAAGTGTACCTGCTACCGGCCGAACCGCAAGGAGACCTGGCTCTTCTCCCGGTTCTCCACCGGCTGGAGCTGCGGCTTGCACGCCGACTGGACCGAGCTCACCAACTGTGTGCCGGGGGTCCTCAACAAGAAGGAGAACAAGCAGAAGAATCAAAGGTACGACTGAGAAATGTTTGGTTTATTGGCTGTAGATTGTGAGGAAGCCCAGGTGTGAGATTTGGGTTATAACCCTTGTTTAGAAATTGAGAATGTGCAGTAACTCTTTGACATATTCTTGAGGTTTATATCACTGCAACTTTTAAACTTTATTACTTTGTTATAATATGTCATTTTAGTATTGCGGTGATGACACGGTATAGAAAATTAACCTGAACCTACGTTGAGGTCATTGTAAACTCGCAAAACTGTGTTTCTGCAGGAAAAAATTTGAATAATCGAATCACACTAGACTAAAACTTAAATTCAAACTAATTTAAAATGACTTAATTATCCGCACTCCCTGTCTACTTTGATAATCCTGCTTGGTACATATCTGAGTCTGGTCTACAAAACAGCCTTTAATGCAGTCTTATTCCTCTGGAGAGGCAATTATAATAGGCCTAATCTGATGGTAAATTTTAAAGCATTTCTTCACACAAAATATGAAAACTTTACAAGAGTATGCAGCTATTTTTAGTCCCAATTTATACCACAGGAATGTAGAAGTGACACCAGAGACAACATAACAGAAGGTAATATAATGGTGTTGTAATCCCATAACTGAATACCACAAACACACTCAAATCCCCCCAGTATTTTAATGAATAATGCCACATTGGTCGCTTTGTTATCCTAAATCAAAGGGTTTTTCTCTTCACTGGGTGGGACCTTATTGTGACATGGATTGAAAGAAAAGCAGAATGGGAAAAGAAAGAACTGTGTGAGCATCTTCCTGAAATAGTGGGTTGATGATACACGTTGAAAGACAAAATGTTGATTGACATTTGAACACTACGTTGTCAAAAATGCCGCGGGAGCTCAACAGTGCCTCTGACAATTGTTGATAGGTGCCAGTATCAGGGTTTCCTCCCACTGAATCCCATACTGAGATTCGGCTGAATTTATTTTCAGGCAGGGGAGTGTAATACATCCAGGCAACATTTCCATTCAGTAATAATCCCTCACGTTGACTGCGAGGTATCCAGACACGACGCGCATTCTTATGAAGTTATAACCCATTTCTTCTCTGCGCTTCCCCCATTGTTGTTGCCAACATATTGCATCCCTCACCCAGACATATTGACGACTGTATCAACTTCCATTTCACTGCACCCTTGTGGTTAAAGGGTACGCTTGTTGAATGGGTTATGTGTCTTTGTATTGTCTAAGCTTGTTCAGGAAAATGTTTTTTGGGCTATGGGTGATCGATAGGACAAAAGGGTGTAAGAAAGATGTGGGAATTTAAAAGAAAAGAAAGAAGCGTTTCTCGCTTCTGTGTCTATCTGTCTGGCAGCCAGGCGCGGTGGAGATGTCAGGCCGGCTGCTCTGCTTCCCATGGCTGCTGAAACTGGGGCTCAGAGCTGCAGGCTGGGCAGGGCAGGGCTGGGCCGGTAAGGGGGGTGGGGAGACGGGGAGACGGGGGGACCCTGCGGGGGTTTGGCTCCGCTCTAATCCGGGTGATTATTACCGCTGGGACACACACACGTACACACACACTAGCACTGGTATTTGCTGTTGGCGTCGGTCCTGACTCCCGTGGTTTTCCCCGGTCAGAGGTGATAACGCGTCCGGCCATTCTGCATGGCGCGCTGAGATATCACAGTGGATGCAGGATAAACGGCCTTTCATCACTTTGTGAGCACTTTTTCAAAGCCTGTGTGTGTGTGTGTGTGTGTGTGTGTGTGTGTGTGTGTGTGTGTGTGTGTGTGTGTGTGTGAGAGAGGGTGTGTGTGCGTGTGTGTGCACCTGAAGAGGCCAAGGGAACAGAAAGCGACAGGGAGGGAGAGTAGATGAGAAAGCTCTACGTGTGTGTGTGTGTGTGTGTGTGTGTGTGTGTGTGTGTGTGTGTGTGTGTGTGTGTGTGTGTGTGTGTGTGTGTGTGTGTGTGTGTGTGAGAGCAGCAGAGAGAGGATCTTGCCTCTGGTATAATCGACTATCCTATCACTCCTGACAGAAGAAACAAGGGACTATAGGCTTAATAGCACCCTGAAGAAAAACAGTGCTGCTCCATATTACATGCAGCTCCACTTCTACTTTCCTCTGAAGAGAAACTGGAAGCACGCTCTCATTTTCTCTTCGTCTGTTTGTTTCTTGTTCTGTCTCATTGCCTCTTTCTCTCTACATGTCCTTCTGTCTGAGTGTGTTTAAGTCCTTGTGTCCCTCTTTGTTTGGCTCCCTTGTATCAATGTGGCAATGCTTGTTCAGGGACATTTGTCCTGAGGGCAGTAGCAGTGCGGTGAAGGGCCCAGAGAAAGTGTGAAAAAGATCATCTGTGTTTACAGAACGGTGGTGAGGGGATTTCTTGGCGCAGTGTTGTACGCATAGCTTTCAAGTCGGCTGTGCGTATTGTCAGTGTGACGGAAACAAACAGTCTGTCACCCCAGCCAGTTTTCAGTGGCTGACACATCAGATACCTGCCCACATAGTAGACGAAGGTTTGGAGCTGTGTCTTTTTCAACTTTCAGGAAAGAAAGAGAGAGAGAGAGGGGGAGGAAACAGCCTATCTAGAAATCTTTGACCACGCAGCAGCTGCAGCAGCAGTTCTAGTGTGGAGACCCAGCGTCTCTCTCTCTGCAGCTGTGTTCTCTTCAAGCTGTCAAGTGCATTTTACACAAACGTTTCATACGCTGCAGAAATAAAATGTGAATTAGGACCATTTCTATCAGCTGGATTCAAGCGCGTATAAGTACACCTCCTGAAAGAGAAAAAACGCACTTCCACAGGGAGAAAGTCAAGAACAGCTGAATACATTTGAGAAGCGGTCAGCACGGGAAACGTTGTAATTGACATTTACTTCACTTGATGTTTTAGTTTGATGACGAACACGTGCTTATGTTTGAACCATCCCAGAAAATTACCAAAAAAATGGTAAAGAAAAAAAACAATGCCGCAGGTTTCTAGAGGGCAGGCTGATGTGCTCACATTGCTGGTTTTGTCCGATCAGCAGTTCAGATTCCAGACTCAAATTTATTCCGTTTACAAACGTAGAACAGGAAGAAATCAGCAAATAGAACCTATGTATGCAAGCTCAACAGTTTCCCTTTAAATGAAAGAGAGAGACAGTTGTTCAGACATTTCTGAATATCTGTCTGAACTGTTTGGTTGTATCGTTTACCAGGCCTGTTGCCATGGCTGTATTATTCCTTGATTCTACAGATGGGTCTGCAGAGACATTGGATATTGGATTGAATATGGTGGTTTTTCAAATTCAGTGTGTCATAAATTGTGTGAGAAAAAAAAAAACACTACGATGGATTAGGCTCAGTTTGGTCCGGTGACAAATGTGTCAGCTTTAGAGGCAGAGGCGCATTAAGTAGGAGCGAGCGGCAGTGAGATGAATGGTTGGTAATAGGAGAGACAGGTCTGTCTTTGATCGGTGATGAGATGAGATCGAGACGAACAGTGGCATTGTGGGAGAAAAGAACTCACATACTCAACAGAGCGCCACTCAGAGTGGATTTGTCATTTCCCACCTCTTATATCAGTTTTAATGTTCCTCACTGATCCCGTGGGACACACTAATACACACACACAGAGTACACACACACACTCACACAGTAATGAGTGTGTAGAACAAACACACACAGACCCTAATGCAAGGCCTTAGAAATGGGGCTTCTAATTGGTTAAGGAGGTTCCTATCACTTTACTCAAATTAGAGCCACACTTTCAGATGGGGGATACCATCTGTCCTGTGTGTGTGTGTGCTTGTTTGTGCACATCTCAAGTGTGTGTGTGTGTGTGTGTTTTTAATCCTAGTGTGTCATAGAGCGTCTTGGTAAGCAAAGTGATGGGGCTAATTTTACTGCCTCTATCTCAGTCCTCTCTCAAATCACTGCCTGTTTTTCTCTCTCCATCTCTTTCCCTCCTGCCTCCTCTTCATCCCCTCTGCTTGCCTCTAAAACACTTTCCCTCCCTCTCCTTCCGTCCTTTCCTCCCTCCTTCCTTCCCTCCATGATGGTGTCACTCTCTAATCAAACAGCAGGCTTGCTTTCCGCTTGGTGGCTTTATGGCCGGGGGCTTTCTCTCTATCTCTCTCCTTCACTTTCCCCTCTCTCCCTTTTTTTTCCTCCTCTCTCCATCTCGGCCCCCTCGTCTTTCTTTCTCTCCTTTGCCATCTTTCTCTCCCTCTCCCTCCGAGCGTGACTACCGCATTAGAGGAAATGTCTTTTCATGGAAGATTTGCTGCAATTTCCAAAATGGCCGCTTTGCCTAATGGACAACTGCCTTGGTTCTAATGAATGATTACATGTATGAGTATGAGGGAGAGGGGGCTGGAGGGGGGGAGGACGATGGGGGCAAAGAGAGAGGGACAGAGGAGTAGATGGAGGCGATGAAGAGCAATATGAGGAAGATGATGGGGTGAGTGTGGGACAGGAGGCGAGCTGTCAGCGAATGATTGAAAAGATAAAGGATGGAGGGGTGAAAACGTTTAGTTTCATTGCTGGGGAGGGGGCTAGTCAATTAGCACGGTTGTCAGGCACTGGGCATTACTCTTCTTTGAATAGGTCTGTTTCAGATTCACAGCACAAATCACTGCACTCTAAGATGGCTCTGTGTGTGTGTGTGTATGTGTGTGTGTGTGTGTCAGTGTGTGTGTGTGTGTGAGTGTGTGTGTGTGTGTGAGTGTGTGTGTGTGTGTGAGTGTGTGTGTGTGTGTGAGTGTGTGTGTGTGTGTGAGTGTGTGTGTGTGTGTGAGTGTGTGTGTGTGTGTGAGTGTGTGTGTGTGTGTGAGTGTGTGTGTGTGTGTGAGTGTGTGTGTGTGTGTGAGTGTGTGTGTGTGTGTGAGTGTGTGTGTGTGTGTGAGTGTGTGTGTGTGTGTGAGTGTGTGTGTGTGTGTGAGTGTGTGTGTGTGTGTGAGTGTGTGTGTGTGTGTGAGTGTGTGTGTGTGTGTGAGTGTGTGTGTGTGTGTGAGTGTGTGTGTGTGTGTGAGTGTGTGTGTGTGTGTGAGTGTGTGT